CCTCACTAGTCAGGTCAGCGGTCTGCTGGTCTGTGGGCGGCCCTGGATATGGTCGCTGCATCAGGCTAAACATGTCATCGCCTTCGGTGGGTGCAGTGCGCTCGTAGACCTCAGTCCAGATTTCATCATACACGTCGGAACTGGGGCTTGACTCCCCACAGCTTGTTGGGGGAGTTGCTTCGAGGTTTTGTGTGTGCTCGAAAAGCAAGTAGAATGCCCCCCTTTGCACAGGAATGTCGTGCCGATACATATATCGCACTTGTTCGTGGACAGCATAACAAAATGTATCACTTGCACATTCATGTTGCGGCAGTGCTAGGTGAAACAAGGCAGCAACATCCACCGGCGGGAACTGCCCCGGCACAAGTATGGAAAGCAAATTTGTTTGTCCATTCCTGTGCGTCTGGACTAGGATAGGGTAATCATCCTGTCTCATATCTACCACGACGATCATGTGTGGTCGTGCCACAAACAGAAAAACTGGTGGTGGATCGACGGGTATGATTTGCAGTGACGCGGCTCCGTGGCATGCATCCCAGTACATCTCGCACTGCTTCCTGGCTGTGTCCGGGCGGTCAAAAGAACAGCTTGCAGGAAACATCTGTGTTGTCACATCTGGTCGGCAGTGAATCCAGAGGGTTACCTCCCCTTCAGTTTGGAACCAACCTTGTAGATATCGAGTGACATGACAAGGGTGAGGACGGATCCGCCCCATCTGCATGTGCGAGGTGTCTTCGACATCAACGCGTGCATCAGTGCGGTGTTGTGTACATGTGGCATCTAGCTGTTCGATCAAAAGAGTAAGCCCTGCACCATGCAAACAGCTTAGCCGTTGATGGTATTCCCAAACATCTACACGATGCGGGGTTCTCATTTGGATGGAACATCGGATATTCTGGGGGTCGCACAGATGGCGCACTCCGATCCGGATTGCGACTGCTCGGACTGTATCAGCTTGGAATAGGATTACCGCAACTCGTTTGGGGAGCACAGTTCCAATGATGTCAATAAGCACTGCTCTGCAACCTTCTCGAAGTTGCTGCTCTGGAATGGCGATCAAATCAACTGGGTGGGCCCGTAGCTGAAGCGGCTCCAGAGCAGGGCAAACTATAGTCACTCCAGCAGTTTCTTCGCCAAAAACATCTGCCCCTTCACGGAAAAGGGTCATACTGAATGATCTATCACTGGACATGGCAACCCTTCTTGCGAAAAATTGGGCCTCATGTGTACCCGCTCGAAGAAGCCATGCATGAACGCCCACAAATGAGGTAGGAGCTCCTATCCTGTCTCGAACATACAGTTGTAGTGCGTCGGCTTGTTCTGCAAGGGTATTGTCGAGGTAGATTATACCTTGTATAGAACTTGGTATCACCAGATGGGGTGATGCAGTCTCTGTTGGCAGATCGATTGGCATCGTCAACTGCACGAGACTATGCTCATCACTCCCGTGTTGCATCTCATCTTCCCCAACAGGCGATTCATGTGAAGGAGGCCCTGAACCGAGATCGTCCGAAATTTCGCTGTCAGTCCCTTCTAGATCTGCACAAGTTGAGGAACCATCTGTAGCTGGCGGTGTCAGCTCGGAAAAAATAAGACGGCTTCCTTCTTGTATAGGCACGACTTCGTGCCAGTCATAAACATGCTGCTGCCCACCATTCTCAGTCATGATGGTGCATTCGTTCTGCCAAACACATTGATTCATGGGGATCACACGTAGGAACATTTCACTGACAGTCAAAAAGGCACGAGTGACAAAAAGAAAGCTGCCACATGTCATGTGTGCATCTAGCCAGTACTCAATGTACGTTGGCAAAATGTTGTCTCCCCTGGTTGTGGTAACGATGACAGTCGGTGTTGCACCCTCGGTCGTGGCGGGCGGTGGGCGGACAGGCACGATGTATACCGCTCGTCTACCAACATCTCTTCCCCACACTGCTCTGACTGCCATACCCCCTGGTAACTGAAAGTCAAAGTGCACATGTCGGAGCTCGTGTTGGAATCGACCGATATGCTCGCTGGCATGAAACCAGCTTAGAATCCGCACCGCTCTTCGCGACCTAGTCACTTCCCCCACGTAGTGGGATATCATGTCCTGGGCGGGCGGGCCAACTTGCATCAAGGATATCATGTCCTCTTGTACATTTTGTGGTATGTCACCTCTGGTGGTATTGACAAGCTCTTGTCTCTTGCAGTACCCAAAACGAGGCTTACTTGCATCAAAATTGCAACAGTGCGATTGCCAATTAGCTCTACCGTCGCTCAAGGTGACAGGAGCGTTCTGGTCGGTGGTGTTCTCCCCAAAAAGGGCACTTGTGTGGCCTGGCTGTTGTAGCCTCAGTTGGAAAACATCTCCCGACCTGCCTTCTTGGGTTTCATGTCGAGTAGAAACCGGCAGTTCCTGGACTCCACAAGGCGAAGAGAGTCCATGGCAGTCCTGACATCCTTTGCTCTGGTAGGCAGCGGATGTTCGCTGGTCATCAGGATGGCTTCGGCTAAGCGTCAGATTCCCAGTATCGATGGCATGTGCCCCGATCAGATTGGCCAACAGAAATATGCCAGTGAAAGAGGCCCTGCCTTGCTTTCTTGGGATGCCTTTCCTGCAGCCTCCTTTGAGGGCACTGGATCGAGGCATAAGGATTCGTTCTTCCTCACGAATGCGAACGGTCCAGATAAGGCCTAGGCTGACAATCATGAAAACATGAATCTGCCAGGATCTTGTAAGGCAGGAGATCGCCTGCACTTCCATTTCACCTAGCCCGATGATTTCAAGGCATGTGGTGTTGATGCAAAGGCTGCAGAAAAGGTAACCACTTAGACTACGAATTTCACTGCAGGTCGGCATACGGTACAGGCGTGTTCGCTTGTATACCTGGGAGGCCATTCGAGAAGCAATCAAGTAAAAACTACCGGATGCTTGGACTATGCACCACGCCCAAAGGGTGAACATGCACTGCATAGCGATCATGTTCCTCCATGAGAAGGAGAGTTTGGAAACTTCTATGTGCAGGTTCTGTGCAAACCCTCGGACGAGGCTCACTGGATCTTCAAAAACCATCTCATAATCACAAAGGATCATGGAACCCCCGTCAACTGCCGTGTGTGAAACAGATGGGGAATTACAGCCTCCAGCCGTGTCCCCCAAAAGAAGAGATCTAAGAGATTTCAAAAGTGGCGAGTGCCAGCTCTGTTCATGTAGCTGGCTCCTCACGTTGAGTGCGGAAAAGAAACCCGGGTTGTTGCAGCTTTCAAATCTAGCGCAACCAACAATTCCGATGCCCTCTTGGTTTAGGACATTGCCCCCATCTCGACTGCCTTGGGTCGTGTCTTGGGTGTCTTGTACTCCTGGTTCTGATCCTCGACTTCTCCATCTTGCTCGTCGTCCAAGCTCAACAAGCCTGCGTCTCCGGGCGCCGTTGGGAGAGGCTGCCCACCACGGAATGGCAGCAGTGCCACAGTTCCGTGACGCTCGACAGGGATCTTCGCGGCTTGCGCCGCCAGGAGCGCAGCCTTCTCTGCTTGTTGCTGCTTGGCACTGGCTTCCCATTGCTTTGCCCGCTCCATAAGATCCATCACTGCGTCCATGCTGGAGTACTTCTCTGGGTCCCTCTGCATCTCTTGTAGGAACATCTGTTGGCTCGTCTCTTCCAATGCAGAGATGACCTGCTTGACGACACTGTGGTCGACTTGCCCTTTCTTGGGCTTCTTCCCTTGTGTGTGTGCTGGAGGGGAGCGAGATCGATTGGGTGACCTTTTCGCCACCCGCTCTCCCACATTCGCTGCCTGATCCAGCCTGAAAGGATGCTGAGGTGAATCCTTGAGATCGATTCTTGCATCCCTGTTGTGGAGGCTTGACACCAACATTGCCATCTGCTCTGTCAGCACTTGATTCTGTGCCAGCAAGGCCTTGTTCTGCTCCTCCATCGTGGCTACGTATGTAGTGAACTGGGTCATCTGCTGCTTGACACCATCCAGTTCTTGCTGTAGAGCTTCCGTCGAGTTCTCTGTGTGGCTCGGGCTCATATTTTCGTCCGTCTCTTTGCGAGCCGTATCCTTGTCTGCCATCTCGCGCTCCTCCGCCGCCCGGATGGCATCTCTGATCTCCGCCATCTCGGATGCATGGCGCTTCTCTTCCTTCTCTATTCCTCTGCGCTGTGAGGCAACCCATTCCCCAAAGCCATTCTCTTTCTCCGTCATGTCTTCTTTCAACTTGGCAGCGCGATTGAGCGATCGCCGCTCTAAGTTGAGCTGCTTCTGCCGTTCTTTGAGCTGGTCTCTCGGGTCTGGTTTGACCAGATCCCTGAGAATCTCCACCTCTTCTTCTCCAGGCGTCTCTGAGTCCATGATCTTCCGGACCGCCTGCTTGATCTTCTGGTTTTCCAGGCGAAGCTGGCTGTCCGAAGACGAGGAAGAGACAGCCGATGAGGATTTGCCATTTCCATCGTCGGCGTCGAGGTTGATGCGCCTGCCGTCCCAGGCGTACATCACATGCCCCTTGGCCTTGTTGTCCTTGGGGTCCTTCTTCTGCTTCTTGGGGTCCCATTCCTGCCATGCTCCTTTGGACCACTTGCCATTGCTCTTCCATGACATTGCCTGAATCCGGTAATGCGGCCGAGTGTGATGCCGCTCCAGGAGGCTTTTGGCTCGTCGGAGCCTCTTCAGGATCTGGGTTCGGACCCAGCACTTGTCCTTGTTGAGCCGTAACAAGGCTCGTGCAGCGCTCCGTCGCGCCCGCCGTCTGCGGTGCCACGAGGGTGAGGAGGCCGCTATGGCTGGGAAAGCGTGCTTTGTTAAGCACTGGGGCCACAAGTGTTCCTAAAAAAGGCGATCTCGAGCCCTCCCAGAGGAGGAAAGACAAAATTGAAAAGGCTTCACCGGGTGTTCACCTGGTTCGACTGGTGGATTGGACGGTGGATGATAGGTGCAAGGTCCATCTTCTCCGGCCGTCCTCGGCACTCCGGGATTTCTCCGGTCGCGCGGTTCCGTCGGATCCATCCGGCCAGGCCGAACGCCGTGGAGCTGGTGCCCGTCGCGGTCGAGGTGAGCGGACGCGGCGAAAAGAGCGGTGGGATGGGCCTGGTGAAAAAACAGGTGATAGGGTTCGGGGGGAAGACATGTTCCCAAAGGGGTTTCGGTGAGAAAGGGTAATTAAGTCGGATGACATGAACAGTACCAGAGTGGAGAGGAGGTCACGTGATGTCACTCTGAAACGAATAGACCTGGCGATGAACAAAAGAGACGAGTTTTCGATGGATCCACGCAAAAAGTTGCACGATGCAGCAGCAAAACAGCACACTTGAACGTCAAGACGACCTTTTGTCTGAGGTATTTTTGGGTCTCTGAAGCTGTCTGAAGCCATAAAAAGCACCAGGCTGCAGGTGTTTTATATGTCATATGTCTCAATTGGATGATCAATGGACAGAAAATCACACTTCTCAACATGTGTGGGCCATGTGGCAGGCCATGTCCTACATTCTACTTGTGGTTACACCACCCGAGACCCCTGCTCGCACTTGCTGCAGCTCGAGCTTCGCTCTCCGCTGTCCATCCCCTTCGCTCTGTGCCAAACCCTGTCAGGAGAGTAGCGAGGTGGTGTCTCCAAGGCGAGGTGGGAGAGGGCACTCTGGAGCTCTCAATGTTCTTTTTTTGGTGCATGTTTTGTGTTGTCCATTTTTTCTTTAGTCCGGGGCAGGTGATTCTGATGATTGTTCGTTTTAGAGCTGGAGATTCTTCTACTGTACATGAAAGCGCGTGTTTTGGGACAGTTCATAAGTTCACCCTGCCTTGTTTTGTTCCCCTCTCTCTCTCTCTCTCTCTCTCTCTCTTTCCTTAGTATATCATGAAATAACAATGCATTTTTTGTTATTGGATATTCCGATGTTCCCTTCATTACATGATTAACATGGCTTGGTCTTGTGTGTTTGGAAATATAGAAGAGTGGCAACGTGGCAACGTCATCGTCGGACAGATTGGGGAACCGACTTCAGAAAACATCAGATTGGTCAATCCAAAAACGAGGGGCTATCTCTCTTTTCCGCTTTGGAAGCTCAAACTCATCACCAGCCACGTGATCAGTGAGTAGTCTACGAAATCAGGTATGTTGAACTGACAAATCAGTTGAGGACTGTGCTGCGCACGGCCCATGACTTCCTTCTCCGTCCTGTCTCCGTCCCTGGGCGGAGACAGTCCTATGGCGGAGTGCCTGGGGCGTTTTCGACACACATCGTTTTGCTCCAACCAGGAGGATCAATCCTTTCCTTGTAAAGAGGTTTTCTTCAGGGTCACTGGACTTGAGTCCTGGAAGTGTCTTTTTTGGCATCTTTGGAATTTGAGCGTGGCATTTGAGTGATTTTCGTTGCCCCATCCCACTGCTCCCTGCTCGCTCCCTGCTCCCCCGACCACGTCTCTCACGGCCGCGCGCCGACGGCCCAGTGGACTCGCCGACCTCGACGCGGTGCTCGATGCGTCACTTGGCACTGCGAGTGGATGGAGCGCTCCCCTTGGACCGGTGGAGGAGCGCAACGAGCGTCCGGTGGACGGTGTCTGGGGGCGTTCCGGTGCGCCACTGGGTGCGCCACCGCGCAAGCGCGACACAGCTGCAGCTGGGACCGGTGGGGACACTGTCTTGCTCCAGTTCTTTCTGGAAAGATAGAACATGACCAATGAAGACATACCAGGAGTCACATGTCGGGGTGCCGAACTTGGAGGTTAGGAGTGCCCATGATCCACTCACTTAGGGATCAAACACCACCCCGTCTTGTGACCCCTGGTATAGATGTGTCCCTGGGTCCTGTGTCCCTAAAGCGTTGGAAGGTCGCAAAGCAGAATCAAGACTGACATGAATGGATGTTTCATGTTTGTTTCCCCAAACCGCCCAAACAGCAAGTTGCTATGTAAATTGATCTCAAGCAAGGCATTTTTGTAATGACCAGAGGGGCGCCGGATTAGTATTAGTAGTAGCCAGTAGCATTATATAAGCACCTTAGTGCGCTACATACGTATTATGCGCCACATCAACCATTTTACATGGTTGGCTTGGTGGAGTCGAATGCTGGAGGGGGAGAAACACGGCCTGTGGGATGGACAATGATGGAACCATAGGAGTCTGTGGCAAGTGTGCTCAGATAACTTGGTTGCTAAGCTAGCTCAAGGCTTTCAATCAAGAACACATTCTGAACTGTCATTGGAATGATTTACGAGTTCCTTTTGTTTTTTCCTGGCTGGTTTCCTCAACTTCTTTTCGTTTTTGTGGAGTGTCACCTCCAATCCTTGCGCCCCCAGATGACGCCCCCGCCCTTTCGTTGGCTCGCGCCGGCCCCACGGGCCCCGGGCGGAGCGGGATGCGCTCCGAGCCCGGGCGGAGCGCGCTTCCGAGGTGGGCCCCAGAGGGTTTTTGGGATGTGTCTGGAAAAAGAAGGACCAAAGTGCTGGATGGAGGAACTCAGAGAGTGGATGCGAAGAACTGGGGTACTGGCCAGAATGGACGAACGACCAACAATTTCAACCAGCAGGTGGGATTCGACATCCAAAAGTGGCACAGCTGCTGTTTCCACGAGGTGTATCAGAGACCACTTGGCATGGGAAACGTCGAACACCGTTGAAGTGGAACGTGAAGTGAACGAAGAGTTACGACTTCCAGCAAGACGGAGGGATGGAACGGGTGTGACTGGAGGGAGGGATGTTTTTCTTCCGCACAGACCTGTGGGCTGCACAGAATACGTTCGATCACTGGGAGGATTCCACACACCTAGGGCCTCCTGTCCTAGCGCTGACGGCGTTCGGGGTGTCCTGTCTGGTGAGCAGTGTGGAGTTGTCGGTAACTGCGACAGGAAGCAGCTGGGACGTCTCCTTTAGAGTTCGATGGTGCTGGTTTTGTGCGTCCAACCGCGTCCGTCCGTCTTGCATTGGACAAAAGAAACCCATTTTGAAGGTCACTAATGATGGACGACCCACGCACCACACGTGTGATTTCCGCACCCCGCAGGCGGCTGGTCGGATGGTCTGTTTGAAGACCTGTGTCATCAGGGCTCAAGCTAGCCTACAGGAGGTTGTAGGAATTTTTGTAGCCCCAGGTGTCCAACGGACACGTCTCGCTATCCACGTTCCCCTACCAGCCATAGGGCGGCTCGGCGCAGACGCAGCCGTGCAAGGGCTTTGATCCATCGGCATCGGCATAAGTTCCTGGTGAAATCAGGTTTGCTGCAAAGGATCTGGCGGGGCGTTCGCTGCCTCGAGGCCCATCATTCCAGGCCAAGTTACAATCTCTCTTGTTTGTACAAGGTGAGAATGGGATGGAACAAGAACAAAGGCTGGCCGAAGCAGTCCCAGGAATGGGATCAGAGTTGGGGGAGAGATCGCAAAAAGCAAGAAGAGAAGGAAGCCAAAGGAGGAGTCGTGTTGTACGACTACGACGGGAAGAAGATCGATCTATCAGATGGTGGTTCTGGATTGCGATCTACTTCATCGTCCTCCAAGGAAGTGCAGCTGCAGACCGAGAATCGCAAGCTCAAAGAGGCCTTTCGCAAGTTGATGGATCCCAAGTCCGCAGAGAAGGATGTCCCAGAAGAGGTGCAGAAGATCTTGGAGACAAACCCCAGGGAAGAGCTCAAGGAGAAGCAACGTCTCCTCAACGAAGAGCGCAAAGCTCTAAACAAGGTGGAAAAGTTGAAGGATGCTATGCGCAAAAAGGAGGAGAAGTACACCTCTTGGAAGGAAGGGATCACGGTTGGCTTGCAGAAGGCCGCGGAGAAGCATGGCAATGTAATGGCCGAGCTCAATACGGCTTTGAGAGATGCAGAGAAAGGCGAAGATGGGCAGCCAGAGATTCTCAGCGACGACGATGCCCAAGAGGCAGATACCCAAGCAGATCTAAGGTCATTGAAGCAGCAAGTGAATGGCTTTATGGCCTATGCACAGATGATGGACCAGAGGCATCAAGAGCTTACCAGCCAAATGTCTGCTATGATGCAAATGATGCAGGGTGGATTTTCTCTCCCAGTGAGCTCACCACAGCATCCGTTACGAAGAGGCAACAAGAGAGGAGCAGAGACCAGTCCAGAGGGATCAGAGCGAAACAGATCGAGATCTCCTATGAGGGCAGTCGGCAAGGTTGGGATGGTGCACAGAGCCGGGTTCTGAATCAGATCCAAGGGATGGCCAAAGGTCCAGGTATGGTCTCGGAGCTCACCAAGTTGGTCTCCAAAGAGTTGGAGGTTGGCATTGCGGAGTTGCCCACGATGAAAGGTCCGACTGTGCTGTCAGAGCTATGCCGGGTCAGTCCTTCCAGGGCGCTGCAGCCCTTTGGACGGGTTCGTTCATCCAAGGTCAGAGACGAACCTTATTCGCCAGCCAAGGAAACCCAGAAGAAGCCGGGGGAGGATGTTCTTTCAGGTTTCGATTGAGGTGCCAAGTGAGTGCGGGTTCGAGCTTCGGGTGCGCCAATTTTGAAGGCAGCAGCGTGGCTGATGGAGCCCAAGATATGAGTTCCGTTTTCTCTGATCCCCATAGCAACTTCATTTGTCGACAAGTTGAACAGGGAGAGGAGCAGTGCTTTTCGTCATTTACTGCTTGGAGTGATTGGTGGGGGCTGGTCACTAGCTGCAGTGGACTTTCCTTCCTGTGGGTGCAGAATGATTGGGACCCAATCGGTAAGCGATCTTGCTGGCCTTCAGGGTATGTTTTTGTTGAAGTGGTCCGACAGGCTATGATCTTCTTCTGGGCTTGCAGTGTTTGTGAGCTTTGTAAGGCTTGTATTTGGCTCCTTCGGCATTATGTTTTCCATAGGAGAAGCATTTTCGTACTTCCGCCTGTCGCCTTTTGCCTATATGCCGCAGGGTTCTCCTTTTGCTGTGGGGCGGTGCCGCTCCTGTGGCTAGAGAGTATTCCTGAGGTTGATGACAATGCTTGGGGCATTGATTTCATGATTTGGTGCTGGCGGATTGCGCTCTTTTCTTTCTGCGTGACCTTGACTTGCTTGATATTACGAAGGCGTCTTGAAGGACAATACCCAGAACCTATTCAAGCAAGAAGATGTGGGAGTCGCAGGACCAAATCAGTTCGTTGCAGATCTGTTCGAATACGATGGATTGGGGTTTTTCTCCTTTGCAACGTGATTCATGCCCATGCAATTCATAGTATTGAGGGTTTTCAGTATTGTGATGAGCCTGGAAATCAAGAACTGGATGAAGCCTACCAGAGCACTATTCGTTCAGTTGATGAGGACCCCGCCTCTTGGCCTTGTGGGCAGGGTTTCTCGGAATGCCTTTTCGATGATGGCAATGAAGGCTTTGCGGAGGTTTCCTTGACCCCCGCTGCTCCGGCATTAGGCCGTCGAGCCCATTTTTGTCATGCAGGTTTTGTCCCACATTTTGTAGGTGATTGGTTTGCCGCAGACGGTCACCCTTTTGGTGGGGGCGATTTTGGTGAAGTAGAAAGTGGGTTTTGTCCTACTTTTAGTAGTGATGCTGTATCGTTAATGCAGACCAGTTCTACTGCCAGTGCATTCGATCCTTTGCTGTTGCATGCCTGGGGTGTCTCCGCTGACTTGCCGATTAGGGTTCTAGTTTGGTTGCACACCTGGGATCGCAGAGGGCAATGGGCGTTTGTTGGTAGGTTCATAGATGTCTGGCCTCGAGTCGCAGTTCGGCATCAGATTGTTCAAGGCTTGCGAGATTTCCAGGTTCGTCCTACTCTGAAGGTCTTCAGAGTGAGATGCACATTGAGACAACAGCCTCGAGAAGTTCCGAATTTCCTTGCCCTGACAGTTGATGCCGAGGAGTGGGTTGGCCTGCTGGTCAGGGCTGAGACGCCTTGGCAAACACAGCTTGGCACGTACTTGCTCAGAGCTGCCACGTTTCCTCTGGTTTCTGCGATATTTATGCAGATGCTTCCGATGAACCAATGTATCTGGATGACACAATGCTGGATTGAAGCAGAGGGACGCAGCTTCCAGTGGTTCAGTACAATTCCTTTGTACGAGGGAATGTTTCTGCAATTGCATGAGATACTTGAGCAGGAAAGTGAGGCCTCGACGGTCTGCGATAGTGGATCCGATGATTACAGCAGTCATGAAAGCAATTCCAATGCTACTGAGAGTGATAATGGAGTTCTGCTGCAAGTGGGATGGACGGAGTCTGTTGCGAGAGGGAACACTGCAACTCTCAGCAAGCAGACTCCTCTAACGGAATCTCCAGAAACTCCGATGCTTTATGAGATTAAGCAGCAAGAGAACACTGCAACTTGCATGGGAGCTCAAGGGGATGCCTTCAGTCGATCGAAAGATGGCCTCTGCGCAGCTCTCCTAGATGAGCATGACGGAGACACAGTTGGCTTGATGCAGCTGTTTAGTGAACAAGAACTGCAGGTTGTGGATGGTCTTGATCTGGAGCCTCCGGAACATGAAGTTTTGCAGATTGACCCTGGCGATATCCAGGCATCAGCCGATGTTCTGCGTTCTTATGTGTACG